CTATCGGATTCAAATCCGGGGATTCGGAAGGCCACTGCATGACTTTCAAAATATTTTGTTTTACTTCCAAACATTGTTTACATAGCATGGATGTGTGTTTAGGGTCATTATCATGCTGAACGGCAAACCCCAAACCAATAACACAACATGATTTTGTAGTATGGCTTTGTAACCTTCTTTATTCAGTATTCCCTGTACTCTCACAATATCCCCAGAGCGAAAGCACCGACGGCGGACAACTCTTGCAACCAGAACCTTAAAATTTCGATTCATCGCTCCAGAGGACCTTCTTCCAGTCAGCAACTGTCCAATTTTGATGTTGTTTGACCCAATTCAGTCTCTTTTTTTGTTAGTAGTCCTGAGGAGTGGTTTCGATACTGCTGTGCATCCCTTAAGTCCAGCTTCAAGTAACCTTCTCGTAACTGTTGTCACATTTACAAGTTTACTTCAGACCACATTCAAGTCCGCTACTATTTCGGGTGCAGTCATGCATCTAGTTTCAACATTATGCTCAAGTCTTCGGTGGAAGTTGTAACCCTGGGTCTCCCTGAACGACGGCTATTGAGTGTTGTGCCTTGAGCCTCAAATTTCCTAATAATGTAATGTACAGATGATAGTGGTACCTTCTGAAGTTTAGAAATTTCTGGAATACTTTTGCCAGAATTGTGAAGGCCAATAATAACTCCTTCTATCCCTTGGAATATTCTTTAGTTTCATCCATTTTGATGAACAACCTTGAACTATAAGGTGTTGAACCACGGTTAGTTTATCAAATGAGACAAGATAACTGAAGTAAAATTGTGTTATGGGTTTACGTACAACGCAAATTAAAAGAAATAATCGAAAAACGTAACAATATTCTAAAGGCAAAGAAATTCCTATTATGGCTAATGATGTGATTCCAAAATAGTGTGAACAAAATTTTGATTTCAATGACCTTTGAGTGATGCTTGATTTCCATGGTAAATAAATAAAAATAAATACGTACTAAATATTTTTGTTTGTTTATGATTTTAAATGGAAATATGCAGGTTCAAATACTTTTGAACGGCAGTGTATATGTTTTTTGGTGTATCCTAAGCGTTCCGTAGAGCATACGTGTATGAGTATATGGTGGTTATGTTATTCGACGCTGGTAGGGTTGTCGTCGATAGCGATCTCTAATCGCAGGTATATAAATCACTCCCCACCCCTTTTTCTCGTGTTTGCGTAAGGGCTGTGGGAACCGCCAGCGTCTGCAGAAATCGGGGTCGCCTCAGGACACAGGTGGCGCGTTTAGAAGATATAGACGTTTATAATGAGAATTCCATTTCTACTAAAAGTCTAAGCCAAGGAGACGACCATCATCAAGCAAGACGAAAATAATAAGAAAACATTCGAATACATTTCTAGAAAATAATAATAATAATAGTCTTTATTTCTTTACAATAACATGCTACCGTTACATTTAACCTTAAAAGTTACTAGCAGATGTTAATAATGAAAAATGCAACACCCAAAATTATTTATTGAATTCTGCCAAAAACTTATCGACAGAATGTTTATGTACAAGCCACAGATATTATTTTCTAATTCATGAAAATCATGATAACAGCGGTGGATGTAAATATCGCAAAGCAAACCTGGCAGTTTTTTTTTAATTCTTTTTGACTGCAACATCCAGCACATCCGGTTCGTCGATCACATATCAAAGCTCTAATGGGACATTTATATTATTTTCGAGGAGGTTTAGTTATATACTAAGTGGCATATAAAATGCAATACACAGAACTATTTACTGAATTTTTATAAAAACATGTTAACACATTTGCTATCATGGAAGTATACGCTGATAAAACGTTGAGTCGTACTTAACGTCATAACAAATTCGACTTTTTACAATAATACGAAAACCGGCACACTTCAAAGAAAAGTAGACCAAAAAGTAGAAAAGCAAAAAAGATGGTTAGGAAAGTAAAAAAGCATGATTATGTAATCAAGTCATTGAAGTAATCCCGATTTCACCTGTTGGTAATGAATTTTATATATGGTGGCAACATTGTAGGAGAAACTGCGTTAAAATATGGGTGTTGAAGACTGAGGAATCCTGATCTATTTTATCTCTAAGTGGTATAGAACAAATATTATTGTAACATGATTTTTTTAGCAATTAAGGCGGATTAGACGTAATTAATAATTGATTACTGTAAACTGAGCAGTGATATTTAACCGAATCATTTATGTGAGTATTGGATATTTTACTGATACATGATCGAATTTGCGTATCCTGTTCCAAAAGGTTGTTCTACTTAAGGGTGTCGCTAGAATATGATGATGATCAATATTCTTAGAACAATAAAAAAATGAAGGAGTGCATGAAGTTGACTATGTATAGGGTTGTCCAATAGGGACGCAGGAAAGTAAAGGTCAATTTGACATGGACGCCATCTTTGTTTTCTGTCACTGACATGTCATTTTGTTAGTTGAATGTTTACCATTGATCGCTATGGAGTCGTATTCGATTGAAGACCGCATTAAAGTTATTCAAGAGCACTACAAAAATGGTGCAAAAATAAAAAACACGTTTCGCGCGCTTCGTGAACATTTCGGTCGCAACAACCACCCAAACGAAACAACCATCGGCCGTCTGGTGCGTAAATTCGAGGCAAAAGGTTCTGTGGCAAATCTGCCAGGCTCTGGCCGGCCAAGGAGCGTTCGCACACCGGAAAATATTGCTGTTGTGAAAGAGAGTGTGAGAGACGATCCGAAACAATCAACAACGCGTCGATCCCAAGAATTGGGCATTTCGAGAACCAGTTTGCTCCGCATTCTCCACAAGGATTTGAATGTACACGCTTACAAGATCCAATTGACGCAAGAGCTGCGTCGGGCCGACCATTTTTCACGCCGAACGTTCTCAGATTGGCTCCTTGAACACCGCCAAATTGATGCCAATTTTTCATCAAAAATCGTGTTCAGCGATTAAGCGCATTTCACTTTGAATGGGACGGTAAACAAGCAAAACTGCCGCATCTGGGCGAACGAAAATCCCCGTGAGTATCAAGAGCAGCCGATGCATCCTCAAAAAGTGACTGTGTGGTGTGCATTGTGGTCAAAAGGCATCATCGGACCTTACTTTTTTGAAAATGCGGCCGGGGACGCCGTTACCGTCAATTCTGAGCGATATCACGTGATGATAGAGGATTATTTTTTGCCGCAACTTGAAGGAATGGATATGGACGATGTTTATTTTCAACAATACGGTGCAACATGTCACACAACCAACGTCAATATCCATCGATTGCAGTCCTTCTTCGGTGATCGCGTGATTTCGCGCAGAGGAAATGTGCCATGGCCACCAAGATCGTGCGATTTGACTCCCTTGGACTTCTTTTTATGGGGATATTTGAAAAGCAAAGTCTACGTCAACAAACCAGCCACCCTCCAAGAACTCAAAAACAACATCATTGCCGAGATAAATGCCATAGAACCGACCATGTTGCAAAATGTCATTGAAAATTTCGACCATCGCGTGGAAGTCTGTAAATCCAGTCGTGGTGAACATTTGAGCGATATTATTTTTCATACATAAATGGTATAAATGAACCTTCAATATAAAGTACCCAACTTGATTTGAATATCAATCTTTCTTGTTTTAATATGCGTTTACTTTCCTGCGTCCGTTTTGGACAACCCCATACTTTCCACGCAATTCGAGACTAATAGACTTTGACTGTATTTGAGTCAAATTTATAGAATGAATATAACTGAACTTGCTACCCTTTGTTGCTTGACCCACAGACGTAAATATTATGCCAAATATGTGTGATATTGTGCCTAACATGCTGGTCATACTACCGGAATCACAAATATCTAAATAATAAAACGTCATAACAGCCTACCCCTTACACCCAATCCTCATTTTTCAACCCCTACATTTTTTGTCTGATAAGCATCTGAATCGTCAAAAAACTACGTTTGGTCGAATCGACTTTCGTCCTTGTCATAAAAGTACCCATCTGTTAAAATTTCATCAAAATTCAAACAGTACTTTTAAAGTTACAGCGGGGAAGGATTAGCGGACAGAGTGACATGATTTTTTGTGATGTGCATTTCAAATAACAACCAAAAAAGATAATACCCAATTTTCGAGATATTTCGCGATTAATACTTCCTCCCCAGCTATAAAAAAATCCTGCTGGGGCTGCTATAAAAAGACACAGACCCGCCTATGCTCGTCTAAGAGAGACCGCTTACAATCGGTTCTTCTTAGCTTTGTTTGACCGATAACATCAGTCGTTTCTAAGAAAGACAGTCGCGTTTCAGTACTCTTTTATAAATTACGAAACTTAACAGGCACACGTTAGTGTATAATTTAAAAACAAGGAAGCATCTGCGACACTAGCGTATCCAGAAAAAAAATTCTGATGGTAGGTCTTGAGGGCGGACCCAACCACTGACTGATGGGGGCTCACTTTTTTTACATAGAAGCAGCCGCGCAGGCAGAAACTAAATGCTAGGCCACAGCGGCTGATACGAGGAACTAAGAAACATGGTTATTTCGATTTTTGAACTGCCTAAGGTTAGTACAACTGGGAAAAGCCTCAGGTAGAATGTTCCACAATATCGATACTTTAGGGACGAAGGAATCGGGCAAATCTGGATGTACGAAGTTCGACATGATTAAGACGGGAGGCCGAAGACAGACGGGTTTGTCTGGCAGACACAACGCGCGGCGGCATCATGGAGAACTCTGAGGAACAAAGCCCATTGGCGTAACGGAAGAAGAGGGCTAGATTTCCGACACTGTATTATACAAGGAAAAAAAGTGATCTGCGACGCGCGAAAATACTCCGGAAGAATGAATTATACTGTTTTAGTGACGTAGAAAAGGAATTAGACATGGTTTTCCGTCGCCCTTGGCCTTAATTGTACGGTCGCTATTATAGATCGCGATCCCTTCAAGAGGAAATAACCATCTCACCACCCGGTCTGCTGAGAAACGACGAATTTAGAAAGACCGTGCAGTCCCGGCACGTGTGAATGCAGAAGGAAATAGATGCCTGTGGCTGGTGGCTCTATATGAATAACATTTTATCTACGGTCTACTTTTATGAATACGAGGTATGTCTTTTAAGTTTTGCATATGGAAATAAACAACACAGTAGGAAATTTTAAATGACTTTATTGTTTTTCGAAGATTAATACACTGCATGCGCTCGAACCAATTTTCGAAGCACTTATTTCACTCGTTTGCTGGCAGATCCAAAACGGCATTTTTGAATGCGTCAACTGCTTCTTCTGATGACTGGAACCTTTGACCACGCAGTCTGTTTTTAATTTTCGGGAAAGTAAAGAAATCGTTAGGCCTCTTAGATCCGGACTATATGGAGGATGGTCCAATAATTCCACGTTTTCTTCCGATAAATACTGCCTTGTTTTTTGGGCTGTGTGCGAGCTTGCATTGTCTTGGTGGAGGATGATTCTTCTTTCGGGGTTGATTTTTCGAAGCTCGGTGATGACGTTTGGTAAACAAATGGTGATATACCAATCCGCGGTAACAGTTATTTGCTCATTAAGAGGCATTGTTGCAATATGACCCGCGTTTGATACAAATGTCGCGACCATCTTTTTCGAAACACTTCGTGAACGGATGACTTTTCTTCACCTTGGAACACAAAAACAGCGGACTGTTGTTTATTTTCTGGTTCATAACAGTAAATCCACGATTCATCGCCACTAACAATGCTGTACACATTTTTTGAGAACAGTCAAGCGTTTTTTAACACCAATTAACCTTGGCTGCTTTCTGCTCTTCAGTCAACAGGTGGGGTGGTATCCAACGAGAAACTAATTTTCTCACTCCTAATTCTTCATGTAATTTTTTTTGAATTGAGGTCTTTGAGATCTTCAAGGACGCCTCAATCTCGCGATATGTCACATGTCTATCTTCAATGATAAGTTTGCGCACAGCATCGACGTTTTCCTGGGTGACTGCCGTTTTTGCTGCACCCACCCTGGAATCGTCGCTAAGACTCACCAGTCCACGTTTGAATTCTCCATACCAACGGGAAATTGTCGACTGATGTGGCGCTTCGTTGCCGAAAACAGACAGTAACTCAGCAAGGCATTCTTGTTGCGCTAATTGTCTCTGAAAGTTGTAATAAATTATGGCGCGAAAATGTTCTCGGTTGAGTTCCATTTTTCTAATGACACTTAAAAATTCACTGTAGTGAGAACACTGCACGTATTGTTGTGAAACTTTGAATTTAGGTTTACTAAAGATTGAGGTTAAGATTCAGTACTGACGTTCGATCTGCGCGGCCTACTATGTTTCTATATGCAAAACTTAACAGACATCCCTCGTAGGTTTTTTGAGCGCCCAAACTTCGTTTTTTACGTTCCAGAGGATACTGATTATATTAGAGCAAATTCATAGGGGTAGGACGATGGAGGAGGGTGTATTGATGTTAGTGTATTAATACACTTCCAATTCCTGTGATTCTACCCAACTAATAGAAATATTTCACACGTCGTAGATTGCTCCGTACATTCGCGTTTAGACCCGCGAAATATATTATCCAGCAAACCGCATCCTATCTGTTCACGTGACTATCTCGGTCTTTTCGCTACCATATCTTTACACACCAGCCAACAGTCAAAAATGCGCAACTTTCAACCAGAGACTCCTCCATGGTCGGCTTCAAGGAACGAACTGAATCGTGAGCGTGTGAACAGTCCACGACCCTCACTGGTTCCACTCCAGCCAAGAGTCACAGAAGCAAAACCATGAGAGCGTAGCTTTAGTTTTTGCTTGCTGCTAGTTTTAACTAAATGTGAGGTTCTTTGAAATGCTACCGAGGCTTCGCGAGTGTATGCAGATCGTTTTTGTTTGGGGCGAAATGAAATGTTTAGTTTCTAAAAATGAGACGAACGCGACTGACTAACTACTTGTACTATCGCAGACATCGTCAAATAGTCGTAGTACTACCTGGAAGAGCTGTTCTTGATTTTTTTTTTCGCTATTGTTTTACAACAAATTAGCTTCGATATTACAAACGTAGTTGTTTCTGAAAAGGAAAGACTACACTTTCCGAACACCCTGAATAATTAAATATAATTTAGGCTTTTGATTGACTTTTTGCCTGATCATTAAACAGAATTCGGGCGGACGCGGTATGTCAGTACACTACATACTATACATTGTATATACCCTTGAATCGTTTCAGTTAAACGACTGCGAATTTGCATTCCATAAATATTCAACGAAGTTCCCGACTCAAAACTTAATGACGCTACAAGGTATATTTATTATATTGCTGCGGCTCTAGAACGTTTTGCTTCATTATTGCTTAATAATAAATTTAATATTCCACAACACATCTGTATTCGGAACATGGAGCTATATCATTATCCTTCGCGATAAACGCTACGTTTGAAGGTTTCATTCTTCTTGTATTATTGTGCTCATAAAAAGGAGGATCAAGAAATCGTCATTTTATGTTAAGGGCTATTTAACTTGAAGGGTTACTTGTAGGAGAAAGTAAAAATCTACTACCTGGGCTGAAAAGGACATGATAGCTTCCGTCTGTAACCATAAATAAAAGCAGAAAACGTCATTTCTTGCTTTTTAGCGACTCACCAATGAGGTATAGGTCTTAGGTCTAGTCTTGGAGACAAACGAAACGGAAAGCAAACAATTGGGTATGGTCTTTTGAAAAACTCATGAATTTTGCCAAGTACGTTAACTCCGGTGACCTTGGTGGCCCGTTGTCATCACCAAATCGAGTAATTAAACGTCCCGGAAATGTTGTTCGCAAAAGATTCATTGTTTCCCTAGCTGTGTGACAAGTTGCTCCGTCCTGCTGGAACCACATGGTTTGCAGGTTAAATTGTTGGATTTGAGGAGCCAGAAAGTTTTGCACCATATCACGCTAGCGCTCACCATTGACAGTAAGAGCTGAACCCTTTCGCACTCTCTTCCATGATGCCGCCGCGCGATGTGCCTGCCAGGCAGACCCGCCTGATTTTGGCGTCCCATCCTAACCGTGTCGAACTTCGTACGTCCAGAACTGGCCGATACGACCGCTCCTTTGTCCCGAGGGTGTCGAGATTGTGGAACAGTCTACAAGAGGAAGCTTTTCCCAGTTCTACTAACCTTAGGCAGTTCAAAAATCGTATTAACAAAATTTCTTTGGGATCATCATAGCAGCCGCGGTGTTCCGGCATTTGGGCTTTTGCCTGCGCGGCTGCTTCGATATATATAAAAAAAGTAAATCGTTTAACAATACGGACGCGTTGTGGGATCGGGTGGCGCTCCATGATGAATTGGATACACGTGATTTAAACAACTACTACGGCGCCACCTGCTGAAATGCGTGTATCAAAATTTGCGCGCAATTTAAATCAGTCAGTTGTATATTGGCCACCCTGTATAAGTAGCTACTAGCACGACGGTGTGTTAACGAAATCAAAAATTGTGAACATTTTTCCCCAATAGGCATGTCTGAGTTATTCGATATAATGAACAAAAAGTCATCAGCGTAAGCCAGGTAAAATTGGTCAGAAAAATATGTCATTGACATATAGTATAAAAATTATGGGACCTAAAATAGATTCCATATTTACCTCTAAGCAAGCAGATTTTATCTGAATAACATCGTGTTTTATGGATACAAATGTTCATCGGCTACCTAACAAGGTATTTAACCAATTCCAGATATTACCAGGCACTCCCGTCATGTAAAGTTTGTCATTCAACGTTTTGTGATTGACACAATCTAAATCACGCGATAAATCACAAATAATGAAAATAGCGATATTACCGTCACTAAGATTCTCGATAATATAATTGTTTTATACTCCATCAAGGCAGATATTGTTGATTTCCCCTCTTGGAAACGATGTCGCTTATCTGTCAGCACGTTTAACTTATTTAGTAAGTCAAATAATATATTCAAGAAGGCATATTAACATATTTAGAAACTTTTTCTAGGCTAGATGGTATATTAATTGGTTAAATCGTGTTGAACGGAACTCGGATATCGATTCAAGTTCTCGACAGAAAAACTGCGTTTGGGTGTCTTCGGAAAAATTTCGCGCAACACCATTGACGCCGTAATTACGGGGATTCAATATAATAAATAAAGAACTCGAGGAAGTAACTTCTAAACTAAATCTTCTAAACGGTTATCAAAATTAAAAGGACTGGTTTTAATGTCTAACTCTTCTAAGTTTGAATACTCGTATCAAACTAGGTTTCAATTTGAAAAGAAACGTCAAAAAGAGCAAACATCCGAACTTTATACCAAAAACAAGGGTCATCATACTACATGTATATTATACAGGTTGTTTCAGTTTATTGTTGCATAACTTTAAGATTCGATAGAACTTTTAAAATTAATGCATAAAGTCTATATAAACATGGGTCGAAAAATGCGTGGCTTCCGAAATACAGGGTGTTTAAATTTACTTTCTAAAATAGTTTTTTTTTGAATATTTCGAACAATATTTGATGTATAACAGTGAAAATTGGTATACAAGGGTTTTTTGGTACGACAAAACGAACTATGGCATAGTTTTACTGTAGCCGCTAGAGGGCGCTCTCTACTGTACCAGTAGTGTATTAAAATGACCGGCAAAATTTTCTTAGTGCAATTTTTTCCTTTTTGAATAAAAGAACTGATTCTTCGCACTTTTCAACATAAAAAAGCTCTCTTGTGAATTTTCGTTATAGTTAGCCGTTTTTGAGATATTTCGATTTTTAAGGTTCGATGCATTTTTATTTATTTATGATAAAATAACGTTAAAAAGTTAGTATCTCGATAATTTTTAGAAGTAGGCTGTGCCTGCAAATATTTGTGAAACTGAAGGCAGAATAAGGTTAAACGTCAATTAGTTGACAGTTAGTTTTGTTGTCTGTTGAAACCTGAAACGTTTTTTTGCAATTGTGAATGCACGAGATTTAGTCTCTTTTACCTGTTTTTTGTAAGTTTTATAAAAATGCCATTTTTATTCTCCAAGAGTTAGCGGATATTCATGTTGTGTATGGCTTTGTAAATGGAAACGCAGCAGAAGCAGCCAGAGAATACGCACGAAGATTTCCAAACAGACGACATCCAACTCGCTCAGTATTTGTAAGAGTGCATCGCCAAATAACTGAAAATGGTTTTGGAAATCTCCAAAGGGATCAAAACATAAATGTTCGTCAGCGCAGATTTACCCGTATGATTCTGCGTGAGTTTGATACAGATCCGACTACAAGTGTTAGGAGAGTTTCTGGTGCCTTGGGAACTTCAGCAAGCCATGTTCACCGTGTTCTTAGAAATGACCATAGACATCCTTACCATTTGCAACCTGTGCAAGGACTACAGCCAGGGGACGGAGAACGAAGAATCACATTTTCTCAGTGGATTCTTGATAGAACTGATACTAATAGGGAGTTTTTAAGTAACGTTTTATGGACCGA